GAACGAGACCATCTTAGCTTCTTGTTGTCTTGGTAGGCGACTCATGGTGTGGGATCTAAGCAGGTAATTCTTTTCCCTATCCATTAATAGAGGCAGTAATTTGGGTCATATTGAATCCTCCTGTGGTATTTTTGAAGTACTTGGGGTATTTTAATTTTAAAACCTTTTATAGAAAACTCGTTCCCTTGCAATAATTGATCAAAAATCACTTGTTTAGTTCTCGGCTGTGCCAATATTTCTTGCTGTAATGAGTTCCTTACTGGTTTCATAACCAATTTAATCCGTGTTCTGGAGAATGAAGTCAAATGTATCTCTCCCTACTTCAATCTGAACTCAATAGCAGAAAGTTTAATGTCAATCTGATATTTGAATTCCCTTCTATTCTCTTTAAGATTTTGCACCCCATCTAGGGTGGCGTCTCCTTTTCCCAGATTGGATACTTATATTTAGACTGTCTTTTTCTTTAATCAATCGTAATATCTGTGGTTTTTTATTTGAAATCCTCGAGTATCTGCAATTTGGAAGAAGCTCCATAAAGCTTGCAAGTTCATTATCCTTAGTGCGCACTCATACACACGTTTTAAGAGCTATAATGTATAATAATTCCTCCCCGTTTGAGGCACTGGTTTGGTTTGATATAACTCAAGGTATGCATTTTACAGGAACTCACCCTATATGTAACTCGGGTCTCTCTTTTGCAGGATTGATGCAGAACAGACGCCAGAGGATGCTGAAGATGGACCGCCCGAGTTGCTTTTTATTCACGGTGGTCACACAAGTAAAATATCAGATTTCTCTTGGAACCCCTGTGAAGATTGGGTTGTTGCAAGTGTAGCCGAGGATAACATACTACAAATCTGGCAGATGGCTGAGAATATTTATCATGATGAAGATGATCTACCCGGAGACGACTCAACTAGAGGAACCTAATGTTTATTTTCCCAATTAGAAACAGTCCGAGAGAAGCCATTGTATGATCAGATAGAGAAGTATTTATTTGGGGTTGTTGAGTCAAATTTCTTCTGTAGAGATGTATTATTATGCGCAATTGTTGATTTAAGCAAATGTTTATTACTTATTATTGCATGGTTGCCTAAATAAGTTAAAAGGTAAATGGTAAATAATTATTTTTTTCGATAACTTGGGTTTTTATTTATTGAGAAGTCAGAAAATATTTATTTGAGAGCTTAAAAAAAAAAAAGATTATGGGAGCTATTATTTACATTCGTCATTATTATATATCTATTTCACTATAAATTTCTCATTATTTAAATTTTTAAAAAATATATTATATTCATTCATGTTACGTTTCAACATTATTCTCATGCAATATAGTTTGGAATGGAATTGCGGGCGCTCCTAGGAAATGCTTTAGTGTCCATGTATGCTAAATGTGGTCTTGTTTTAGACGTGTCTACTGTTTTTCATGAAATTTCTAATAGAGGATGTTTCGTGAAATGATATTTCAGGGGAAGAAAGTTTTTAATTGACCGATCGAAAGTCAAACAGTTGGGAAGAGGACATGATCGATAGAACTTGGCTGGATTCGAGCAAAGATAGTGGCGCCTATTCTTAACTCGTTCTAAAAGGATTCACTCATGCTGAAGGGGGCATCCCCACTTAGTGATTGATCCGCTAGTTCATCAATCATTGGAGGTTTTGCTGAGAATAAGCTTGTGGATGATGCGTTTCAACATTTTTAGTAGATGATTAAAAGGCAAGTAGTACCAAACTGTGCAACAGTTGTAAAATAGTCTTATTGACATGGAAAAGAGATCCACTGTTATGCCCTGCAACGAGATGAATTGGGCGGCGAAGTTACTATCTTTAATGCTCTTTCAAGCTTCTACCTGAGATTGGGACAAATAAGAGAAGCAGAGTCCTTGTTCCGGAGGATGAAAGTCTCCTTTCTCATGCTACCAAACTATTATGGTAGGGGACTCGTGATTCGTTTGCTCTCTGTTAAAATAAGTTTTCCATGTTATATTTTATATAAATATGCACATGAGTGTCCACATAAAATAGAATTTGTTACATTTTGTATTGAAACTAGCATGACCTAACGTACACAACTTAAAATAGTTTAGAGTCATGCTAGATGTACATGGAAATAGTTGCTGCCCTTTTATTGGAAACACTTGATAGTTTTTTATTGGAAGTTGGCAAAAAGAAAAAAAGCCATCATACCGATGGTACGTTGACAACACCTGTAGAAATCCTGGCAGTTATTCTCCTTGTGGAGAAAATTACATATATATTATGGCCCTGTTTGGGAGGGATTTAGATTTTTATACAGTAAATCAATTATCATTTTCAACCACACATTTTTCAATAAAATAATATCTTCCATCACTTCAATTATTTTTTCTTCTTTTTTCAACCACACATCTCCCTTCATATCACTATTCAAAATCAATTCTTCCCTCGAAAATTCCTCCCAAACAAACTCTATAAAAATGCTTATGTAACTAGAAAAATCACTTATAAGTTCAAAAATACTTTATGCCCCAGATTGGTGTAGCTATCTTTCTAAAAATCTAAGTCAAAGTTAAAAATTAATTTTAACCATATTTTTCATTAAACCTACAATATTTCATTGACACATTTAATTAATTTTTATCAAAATCTACTTAGTTTTTAGCTACATCAAATAGGGGCTATAAACAAATTTTCTAGCTAAAAATTCACTTATAAATATATATATATAGTCACTTATACTTTAAAAAATTCACTTGTAAGTAAAAAATTTAGATATAAGATAAAAATTGTTTTACTTATAAATACAATTTTTTTTTTTTAAGATAAAAAGTATTTATATGTAAACAAATTATTCACAAGTAAAAATTTTACTTATGAATAAAAAATTTCTTACAAGAAATTATAAGTAAAATAGTTCATTTGCTTCAATTAGTCAACGTTGAACGTGTGTTGCACGTTGTTATGAAATGCTTTATAAGTCTTGTAAAAATAATATTTAAATATGTGTGAATGTTAATTAATACAAGAGAATATATACGTGATAATGAATGTTAAATCATTTATTTAATTTTTAATTAAGTATAACTGGATGTTAATTAACATACTTTGACGTGAATAATGAAATGCATTCTTAAATGTATTAATAACACTGAAATGTATAAATGAAGATGAATATTAATTAAATGAATGTTAATTGATTGAAAATTAATAATAGAGAATTCATACATTAATGAAAGCACACAGATGAAATGAATCCGTCAAATACTGGTAACCATATGATTAAATAAATTAAATACATATTGAAAAATAAGTTATTATTGAAATAATTGAATTATAATAAAGTGAAAATTATTTATTTTCACTCGATATAATATTTAATATATTATAATATTATATTTAATATATCATAGACGTACAAAAAGTTGAATGGTAATTAGTGAATGAATTAACCTCCACAAACAATATTTTCTCCATTTATTCGCGTCATCAAAACACTGGAAGGTGCTTTTGAATCTTTGATAGCATTTCTCCTCTCCATAACCATTTATATTTCGAGCCCTAACTCTCTCTCTCTCTCTCTCTCTCTCTAAAAGGATTCAAAAATTCTCTCCCCAAAAAAAATTCCTTCAAGCAATCCTCTGGTAAGATACTATTAAGCATTTCTCGATGATAATTTTTTCTATTATTTTTTTTTCGTCGGGATCTTAGTTGAATTGGATGTCAGGGTCATGTGATTTGATACTTTTATAATTATAATTAATTAACCATTTTGTTGTTGGTTCAATCAAGCTTTTTATAATTTGCATTTGTTAATTCACTTTCTTATCTGTCTCCATGCGTGATTCCTCCCTTGTACCACGTTGTTGCGTGCTTTCGTTGCCCGAATCGCTCTGTATTATATGCCATGTGAAATTTGAATTTTGTTTGATGTATATACAAATAGTGTGGGTGCATCTTGGTCCTTTGCAAATAATTCATCTTTTGGGATACAGATTTGCTTTGCTCGAAACACTAGGTGGGTTTCTTTCTCATGTTTATTGGTAAATTTTATTCTAAGTTCTGAGAGTGATGGCTAAATTTTGCATTTGGCTTCTTTACCGAATTGTTGGGATTTTATTATGTAGTTATAATTTGAGTTTAGATTTGGTGGGTTTATGTTTGGATAATTATCCAGAACTTCAGTGCATTGAATTTCTGATTTTGCTGTTTTTGGTGAGCTAATGTTTTATGTATTTAAAATGCTTCATTTCTGAGTTTCATCACTACTTATGCTAGTTTTACTCATAGCAATTCAAATTGATAACAATCTTCTGGTGATTCATCAATTTTCTTTCCCTGGTAACTGTGAATCAGTGACCATGAGTGATCTTTGATGAAATTTTGGAATTTCAGAAATTGGGGTAGTCAGAATTCTGTTCCTAATTGTTTATGGAAATGACTCCCAAAAATAATTGAAAACAGAGTGGGAATTGCATCAAATATGAGCTAAAGTTCAATTTTTTCAAAATTTGATGCTTTAACTATTCATATAATGCATCTTAATTTTCGAGCATGCCTTTGGATGCTGTTGGTCTGGAAAAGTCTGCTACATGCAGATGTTCTGCAATTAGTTGCCTGAACAATATTTTGATTCATTGACCTTTCACTCGAAGATCTATTGATGAATAATATTATTAGAAAGTTTTATCTGATATTAGGATTTATTTTCTGGGAAATTGTCCTTTAACCTGCCTTTATTTTGATGTGGAGAGAACTAAAAGGATTCTGGTGTTCACTTGATCCACTCCACAGTCCATCCCTTCAACTATTTTTGCTTCCACCACAATAGATTGTAGTTTTCACGATACTACTGACAACTTACATTTGTACGTTTTGTGATTCCTTTTTGTCATTGATTAATGTTGCTTATGGAATGGAAATGATTTTCAGTAATTATATGTACATGCTCTTCTTAATTTTCTGTATTAAGTTTTCTGCATCAATGGCTGAGCCATCTTATTAAAATTCCAGCTTATTAGGAAATGGCAAAAGGTATCAGGGGAAGACGCAGAATTGCTTCACGAAAGTACAGGTCAATGCCATATCCCTTGCCGGCTTCTAGTAGAACAGAGGTAATGCAGCAAAAGAAGTGCTCAAAAAAATTCGAGAAGAAAGACTGGGAAGATGCAACTTGTTCGGTGTGCATGGAGTGTCCCCACAATGCTGTTCTTCTCTTGTGTTCTTCACATGACAAAGGTTGCCGACCTTACATGTGTGGGACCAGCTTCCGCTATTCCAACTGCCTTGACCAGTACCAGAAGGCCTATACAAAAGTAACCTCGTCAGAAAACCATCCACCTACTCGTGTTTCACTTAACAGTCAAGCTAGGGGCCAATTTTCTAGTTGGCCTGTTGAGAATTGTGAGGTACTAAAGATTGCATGTCCCCTTTGTCGGGGACAGGTGAAGGGCTGGACTGTTGTGGAGCCTGCACGAGTATATCTCAATGCTAAGAAACGAAGCTGCACACAGGATAACTGCTCATTTGTTGGAACATTCAAGGAGCTGCGGAAACATGTGAGGGCAGAGCACCCTTCTGCTAGGCCACGGGAAGTGGATCCTGTTCTAGAACAAAAGTGGAGAAGTCTGGAGCGTGAGCGGGAGACAGACGATGTAATGAGCACAATAAGGTCATCAATGCCAGGAGCAGTGTTTTTCGGGGATTACGTAATTGAAGGAAGTCACTATGGTTTTGATTCTGATGAAGAGGATTTTGATGCAGATGCTATGGAGCCGAATGAGGGGTTTGAAGCAGGAATTGATCGCAATTTGATGAACGTCTTTCTCTTTTTGCAGGCATTTGGTTCTGCAGGGACGCACAGAGGTATGAGACGACATGAGAGAGACTCCAACCATGCACTGGATAGAGATCACTCTCGTCAACGTAGTGATAGGGACGAGGACGACGACCACGGTGGTACATCTCTGGCTAGCCGTCTACGTCGTCAAGGTAGAATTGTTTTGGGGAGTTCTAGGAGGAGGAGAAGGCATGGAGAGGCTCATGGAGGCCCGAGATAGAAGTTAATGGTGTTCAAAAAAGTTCGGGATGGGGTATAAATTTTTAGGTCTTAGTTCATTAGTAGAAAAGATTTTAATTTGACATTTGCTTGCGCATTTACTTCTACTGACATTCCATAATGGGTTGTATGATAGGATAACCCAAAACTGTGGAGGGTCAAACAGACTAGTTTGCTGTAACTTTTTATTTGTAACTTTCCTGATTCACTTGTGACGTCATGTTAATTACATGACATTCTTGTCTGTGAATTCACTAAAGAAAATGTAACTTTGTACAAATTGACATGCTTGTCTTTTGCCTTTTCTTAAGGAGAAGGGTTGACTTTGTTGAAGTTGAGATCAGAATTCAGTTTCTCTTTATTTGTGATGGAACCAGGTTTTTGTCTTGACTGAATGAAAATTTGGCCTGTAGACACGTCTTGAATATAATGAGATTCCAGTTACATTAAATTGTACTAGACGGCATGCACTTCAGATTATGAACTTTAAGAACTTGTCAATTGTTAATATTGTTTGTTTCCACAATTTTTCATCGAAAATTGACTAGAAAAACAATATAAAATCTATAGAAACTTGTTAAGAATGCAAAAATAATTTATACATTCAAGAATCTACGGGCTATGGGGTGTAAGCTGATCTTGAAGCAATGAAGAACCAAAAAACAGGTATGGGCAACATAGATCTATCATTTACAAATATTCAAGTATCATATTGAAAAGTCATGCATCAAGATCAACCGGGAGCGTTAAATTCGGAGCTTGAACACATATTGAAAAGTCATGCATCAAGACCAACCGGGAGCGTTAAATTCGGAGCATGAACACAAACTGGTAACATGAACAGATCAATGAGATTGGCTTGACTTGCAAGATCAACAGGAAGCATTAAACTCGGAGCATGAATGGCAACTGGTACTGTGGTTGGATCAATGAGATTGGCTCGACTAACAGGGAAGTTTTCTTCGGGCTGCTTTTTATGCAAGTAACTGGAAGCTTCAATCTATCTAGGGTCGACCAAAAATTTCTTGTCCATTGCCCAACTAGCCTGATATGTTTGTGCATCCACAGAGACCACGCGTGTCACATCCGGGTTGAGTTTGTCCGAACATCTAGCTCCAAGATGTTGCGCCATTTTCCAAAGCCAGAGATGTTATGTTCGTTCTTGGGAACACAGGCTAAGGCAACTTTGCAACCCATTAAGACTTCTGAACGGACGGTTTTTAGTATCTGTCATCGTCAAAATGATTTGCGGTTTTTAGTATCCGTCGTCGTCAAAATGATTTGCGATTTTTTAGTATCTCTCGTTGGAAAATTTACCTGCCTCATATCTTGGCGCTCTAGATTGTCCCCATGTTCCTTTGAGAGCAGATATTTGTCAGTACAACTGATGATAATTAAAACATAATAGCAATAGCTCATCGTGGTTTCACATACCGAGCCAAAGAATAAAACATGGATTCGCTGCAGAACTTTAAGAACAGTAGCGAGTGCTCCATCAGTCTCACTTCCATCACATCTTAGGAGCGAAAGTGATTTGCTGTTGAGTTTAGATTCTTTACAACTCGAAGCAAAGAAATGATAGCTGTCCATTAATATTAGGTTCTCCAGGTGCTTTTTCCATGCGTACAATGACTCGAAAAGAATAGTGGAAATGGTTCAACTCTTGATTTTAATGCTAAAATATACAGTAAGCACTCCAATATCCCAGAAGGGATTGCTTTGTCATAAACACCAGAGTATGAGAATTACCGATTTTGTATAATCAAGGATCAAGATAGCACTTTCTTTCCCCAAAACAACATCAATACCTTTTCGATGCTTCTCGGTACAATCCTCTTTCGTTATAACTCTAGAAGGGAAGTAAATATTCTCGGGGTCAAGTAGCTTTGCCATTTCCAATGCATAGGATCGTTTTCCCATCGTGTATATATACATCTCAAACAATACCAAGGAGAAATGAAACAGAGAAATAGAAACAATATTGACTACAAGACGCAACTCTGAGAGCAAAGAACTCATTACATTTAATTTTTTAGCTCATTTTCAAACTGTAAAAGAACGTTATTTGTTTTTTTCTGTTTTTATCCTTTTTTCTTAATGAAATTCTGGATTTAACAGAATATATTTAAGTATGACGACTATCATGCTCAAATTTGAAATACATAGCCAAAAAAATGATAACCTTGAAAGCAAGAAATATATTACCGAAGCAATTGTAAAAAACACTAAGGAGGGCATACCTTGCAGAGTATCTTGTTGGCTCTTCAAATATTTTTCTTCAATGTCAAAGATACAAGTGGAGTTCAGAAGAGTATGATCTAAATCAAGAACCAAGTGAAGTTTCTTATGGTGTAGCAAGTTCTTGAAGTTTTTGTCACGTAACCCCACAATTTCATCATTAGCAAGCCTCTAATGCTGCATGTACAAAGAAATCATATGAAAATTCCTCGATGTAATATGTAAATGGAATTAAATTATTAGACATTTGCTTAAATATACTAAGATACAAGGCAAAATTACAATAAATTTGAAAAAAGCAACCTTATGTATGTACTCAAATGCCACGCCAGACTCGTCATCGATTGTCTGCCCAGAATGTGTGCACGTATTCTTCTTTGGAGAGTTGGAACTTGGTGGATCTACAAGAACTTTGACAGTATCCACCCTTTCCCTTTTCATTCTACAATAATAATATATATCAAGAACAGGAAGGCCAACCTTGTCAGGATAAAACATGAATGAACCATAGAAGGGTTCCATATCAAAGCTAAGGATGATACTAAATTCAAAATGGCTAAACAATTTGACTATATAAAAGTGCACTTTTCTCAAATATACTTTGGCTTGATAAAGAGATAGAGAACAGATATAGAAAATAAAGAAAAATATTGAAAGAAAACAGAAGATATGCTCGAGTTTGATAGCATCGTATGTTTATATCTTCTAATATTTCTGCATAAGTTCAAAATAGCTTAATTTGCTACATTTTCATCTAATGTGCATACTGCATACTTAAGAATATTTCGAGCAGGAAGCTGAATATTTCCATATTTCCTTGCCAGAAAACATTGGTTTTCAATTCTATGTTTATAGAAGTTATAGTGAGTGCGTTGTTGTTTCGAGTCACATACTTTTAGCACAAAGTTTACTGTAGGTGGGCAAAAACCAATAAGCTTTGACACAATATTGAGGCGATTCAAAGTGCGTTGGAAAGTTAACTTAAAGGGTTACAACTTTTATCAAAATAAAATATTTCCAATTCGGACGTTTACAGTGCCAAAATACTGATTGCTGTGTAGAGACAAAAAATCACTCACGAGGGTAACTTTCTTTATTCGATTGAAACTCTTTTGGAAACTAATTTGGCGTGATTTTCAACCAATTTTCTACTCCTACAAATACCTAATAGCAGAATACATATGAGAGACCTCTCAAAAACATCTCATACTCCAATATTCATTAATTATTATCATTAATTGAAGAAAATTTATAGTTTTTGTGAGAGAATTGAAGGGGACTTGCAGAAAATGACATCAAACTAACAACTACTACTTCAGTAAAAATCAATATTAGAGATAAAATTCGAGTAAACATTCAGAGTGATATGGATTGTATAGGTTTTTGGGGATCGCAGTGTTGATGTTCACTGACAATATAAGTATAGTCTAATGTTCAACCTTCCTATCTAATGTTCGACATGTGATGGTCATAATTCCTTTAAGGCAATACGGGGGATTTAAATGATCTTGCCATAAAAAATCACATGAAGATCCATGGAAAACAAAGACTCTATTAAATTTAACCAAACTCTTCTCGATTTATACATGTTTTATCTGCATTAGTTTGGGAGAAGTTTTAATTCCTTTAATTATCCATTGCTAGAGCTCTGGTCCAACCCCCTCCTAAGTTGTACTCTCTTCTCTTTCTTTTTTCATTAGTAAAACATGCCATGTACATGTGGCTCTAATTTATAAAAAATGTTATGCAGTAGAGATATTCCAACACTTACGGACTCATGTTAGAAAATGTTAAGGGATAGAATCACACATTGAATAAAGATGTAAACATAAATCAATTTATAAAGGATTGTGTTACACCTCTTAATAAGGTTGACATTTTAAGATAAAATCTCAATTTTTAACATGGTATCAGAGCTCATTAAACTCTAACGAGCAATTCGATCCAGTTAAGACTCCAAAAGTGAGCATACGGATTTCAAGATTGATCTGCTCAAACGAGCCACCATCTTGCGGGGACATGTTAAGGGATATAATCTTACATCGAATAAAGATGTAAATATAAACCAACTTATAAATAATTGGGTTACTCCTCTTAATAAGGTTAATATATTCTCGATTTATACATGTTTTATCTACATTAGTTTGGGAGAAGTTTTAATTCCTTTAATTATCCATTGCTAGAGCTCTGGTCCAACCCCCTCCTAAGTTGTACTCTCTTCTCTTTCTTTTTTCATTAGTAAAACATGCCATGTACATGTGGCTCTAATTTATAAGAAAATATTATGCAGTAAATATTCCAACACTTGCGGACTCATGTTAGAAAATGTTAAGAGATAAAATCACACATTGAATAAATATGTAAACATAAATCAATTTATAAAGGATTGTGTTACACCTCTTAATAAGGTATGAAATCTCAATTTTTAACATGGTATCAGAGCTCATTAAACTCTAGCGAGCAATTCGATCCGACTAAGACTCCAAAAGTGAGCATACAGATTTCAAGATTGGTCTGCTTAAACGAGCCACCATCTTACGGTGGTATGTTAAGGGATAGAAATACACATCGAATAAAGATGTAAACATAAACCAATTTAGAAAGGATTTGGTTACTCCTCTTAAAAAGTTTCACCTTTTAAAATGAAACCTCAATTCTTAACAGAAAACACAATCCCAAAAAGCATGAGAAAATAGAAATTATAATCTTAGTATAGGGAGATACAGAATCAGTAAACTATAGATTTTTTCAATTATGAAACGTGATTAATAATAATTATTTATATCTTTAATAAATGATATAAATGACTGATTTAAAAGAAAATATTCTCTTATTTTTTCTTAGCCAGTCTATATAAATTAAAGCTGACCATCGCCAATATGCATATAGGAAGACGAAGAAGTTGAACAGTTGCACAAAAGGTATATTTATTTTTTACTTTCTATTTTTATATTTATTTCTGAATTTTTTTTGCATAATTAAATTAAGCTCCCACTTTGACTTCGCTGCTATTTGTTACCAACTTGATTTTTATTTTCTTTCGTTAACATTTTTTGGTGATTTTTTTTAGGATATAAATTAATGTCGGATAAGGATGGCAGTATACAAGAGAAGAAGGAAAGCAGCGTAAATTGCGTATGCTTTGGAAAATATAAGTCAAAACACAACAAAAATAAGAGTAAAATGCCCGTTAAGAACATTGCTATCTGCTCCTATATTGTTGAAATTGATTCACCAGATGAAGACATTCGTAAAGATAAAGGTATTAGTACTAGTCTTTAATTCAATTGCTGCATAATTTGATCACCGCCCAAAAAAAATGAAAAAAATTGGAGATGTTTAGTATAGAGTATTGAACAGCTCTCAATCATATAAAATATGTTATAAACTGTTCTCTTCGTATTTCAGTTTTTAGTTTTGAATTCATTTTTGATTTTGTGTTTTGAGTGTCCATTTTGAGATTGCTGAAAACTCCTTCTTTTTTTTTTGTCTTTTTGAAAAATTGTTTTCAAAAATAAAAAAATGAGGTTTTGACTTGATTTTAACTGAAAACAGCAAAAACGGTTTTTTTTTTAGCATATTTCGTTTTCTTTGTAAATTTTAAACTCGTTTTTGGAAATTCGTTTCTGAAAATAGGTAAGTAAACGTATTTTCAGTGTTTTCGAAAAATGAAAACTGAAAATGACCTGAAAATAGCGAAAAGAAGAGATTCTAAGTTTTTAGGTTTTATAAAAATATTTAGCCCCTCTTTGACAATCGTTAAAACAATTTTTTTATTTTTTTTTCCTTAAATTCATTTTCAATCACACATTCTCACAATAAAATATTTTTGCACAGAAAACCGATTTTTTTTTTCCTATTTTTTGTCAAACTCATTTTAATAGTTGTCAAATAGAGGTTCAAATCCCTCCCCAACGGACAGATTTTATAAAACCATTTGATCCTTCCCATCATATATTAATGTTATACCTCATCTGCGAGCAAGGTTAAAATCGCAATGTGGAAATAATTTTGAATTTGTTTGGAAAAAATAAAAAAAGCAGACTCCCCAACCCCAAAAACACAAATAAAACAAATTGATCCTCAATCAGAACTTAGGATTTGTCTATTTCTTGTAGCTATAAATTATTTGTGTTTGTAGATGTGAAGAAAGAGGTGAAGTCATGATGCTGGTGAATGAAGAAGAAGACACAAGTTCTGTATAAAAACAATTGTTTTGTAGAGCAATACCAATTTCTTCTTTGACAAAATTATAGTTAATTTTGAGCTTTCAATAAATGTAACAATACAAAGGATTCAAAAAATTGATAGTGAGTTTTTCTCTTTCTTTTGGACAATTATTTGTTATTATCCTCACATTTGATGTCAAACATTATTATTTAATTTATTTATTTATGAAATAATAACGAAAAACGTAGTAGAAAATCTTTTTTCTGTATTTGTTCATTTTCTACAATTAAAGTGACTACCCGTTCGTCAAAAAAGGTTCATTGAGGAATAATAATGTCTATGACAAAGACTAACTCGATTGTTAAATTTGTGCATTTTCAACAACGAAATACTTTATTGCAATATTATTTAGTTCGTTAATAAAACAAATAATATTTTGTCATGTTCCTCGTAGTGTCTCTGAAAAAAACTGACTCGCTTTTCAAATTCTATATTTTCAATAATGGAATATTTTATTGTAATATAATTTAGCGCCATTAATAAAAATAACTAAAATTTTTTCATCATTATTTTTAAAAGAAAAACTATGACAAAAATCTTCAGGGCTAAAAATATTTTCAAAGATAATTTTAGTTATGCTTATTCACACTAAATATGTTCTTAATTTCATCATTAAACAACAGTTTTGATAACAAAATTTTCTAAAAACATTTTTACAGTGATTTTTTTGGGTTCCAAGATAAGTTATCTTATGTAATATTTTTAATAATTCATTAAATTTTAGTCATTTAGTAAGAAACAGGGATAAATTACTCGTTAATGGCATTATTCTTAACATTTAGCCCATGTTTGTTTGACATTATTTTTATATAAAAATGAGTTTTTTGACCATTTTTTTCAAATTTGTGGGTCCCACTTGAGAGAGATTGGTAAAAAATGGGGGCTAAATCCCTCCCCAACGGACAGATTTTTCCTGAAAATGGCAAACAAACAGGGGGTTACTATGTTAATTTCAATAATATCTATATATTAAAGTTCGAACAAAATGTCATAATATTGTCATGAGAACACAACGGTTCCAAAATACAAAATTAATAACTAATAATAACAAATGGACAATTGATATGGGATTAGAAAAATGGACAATTGATACTAATACATAAAACATGAATTGCATCTAAGTATCTTCATTTAAACTCGATGATGGGAGCATATCTTTTTGCATAGGCAAGAAGATCTTTTGAGAAATACGGACTAAGCCCATTCACATTTGTTGGGTAAATTATTGTCAAACGACCTCCCACGCTACGATGTAACTCAGTATAATTTTTCACTCGACATAGACCAAATGA